TGGGACTCGACCGGTGGGGTGGCGTCTGGACGGCTACCATCGCTATTTCCGGCACCGGGCAAGGAAACACCCGAACGTGTCAACGACGGTGAACTCTACGTTAAAGCCTGGACCACATTTGCGACATTAGCGCGTGCAAATAATTCTAACCACTACTGAATAGTCACGACACGGCTAAACGCGCTTGACGCATTTCTAAAGTTTCACTGAAAAACGTTACATTTTGTCACATAATTATAGACGCTTACTGCGCATACGCGTTGTTACATACACGTACGGATAGTTGCTTAATCGACTCGATACGACGGTTTTCGTTAAACAACGGTAAAATCAACGAGGACCCGATCGACGAGTCCTGCACGAGTGAAATTCGAACAAACGAAGGAACCTCGCGACAATAATAAACAGCATCTCACCCCGCCGCCTGCGCGTTCTTCAATTAAATATATCGGACGCTATCAAACCATCTAGTATAAAAATAAATAAGCTCTCTATTCTATATAAATCCAACGACACGTTAATATTAGATATATCAACACAATCGTTAATCCTTACGTGCTACGGGTCGGGGGAGATCGAGGAAGGGAAATCGCGGTACCAACAGGATTTCCTTTCCTCGATCCCGCGTACAGAGATAGATATACATGTATATATATATATATAATATATAGAGAGAGAGATCTATGTTATATTTACTTTATCGAGCATCGGGATTCGTGGAAACGTTAAATCAAATCGGGAACTCATTTGGTTGGTTAATTTGATATTTGTCATCGCGCAACGTTTTAATTGAAATTTCAGAGCACTCCACGCCGATATCCCGTATCCGGTTTCGCGTCCGCGAAAAATATTTCCGTGAATATTGTCACCCCGAAGGGATATCGGAACGTTGAGTTTATTCGTGCCTGTCGATTCCACGTGGCCATCGAAACGACGAGTTACCAACCCCGTTTAAATCCTCGTAGCATTCCATCAGAACCTTACGTTCCATTCCATTTTCGATCCCGTGGATCGATCTCTTCGAAAGGACCTTGCGAAAACAGCAGAAATTAGGTACGCGCGTTTTCACGATCTCCCGATCACGTTCGTCTTAAAATTCCTCGTAAAATCTTAGCAAGTGTCGCAACGCATTCGCGAGTACCGTATACGCATCCATACACACACTCGCTCATGCAGCCATGACAGGCGACAAGGATTACCCAGATGATCGATCGACGACGACGAAAATCGATCGACGACGACGAAAATAGATCGACGACAACGAAAATCGATCGACAATGACAAAAATCGATCGACGACGTCGAAAATCGATCGACGCTTCCAGTTATGTACGTGACACATATACGATGAGTCGTCGTGAAAAGAGCTCGCGATCCAAGGATCTCGGTGCTCTTTGCCCAATTAACATAATCGATACCGTGATCGTCGGACTTGTTTCGTTGACTGTTTGGTACGACTAGCGAACGAAGATCGATACGAGCTGCAACACGAACAGCGAAAGGTTCGATGGCGGACGCACTTACGTCTGTGATTTTTTCCATGACACGATATTCGAGTTAAGCGAACGGAATGATCTATGAAAGGTATTCGCTTCGAGCAAGCTACGCGCAGAAGAAAGTTGAGCACCCCAGCCTCTCGGTTGTATCGATTCGCGATATCCTAGATCTCGCGAGGTTCCTGTGAAACGTCGTTCCGAGCGATCTCGGCGAAGATCCCTCGGAACGACGACGCGTGTCACGCAACAAATTTCAGACGTAACTACATACATATTCAGGTCCCTGTTTCGTTTCCCTAATTCTCCCTCTAATTCTACGACTCTTCGCGTTCGATCCTATCATGTACGCGATATGTGTGTATGTGTATTCCTCTAGCCGCTTGTTCCTCCCGTTTCTTTGTACTTCGTTGTGCACACGCTCGTGCCTGGCGTTTGTCGTCTAAGTACACGCACAATTACACGTTTCCACACCGTTGTTACAAGGTGATTCCTTTTTCCAGATGATTCTACGTCGACAAAATGATACGGCGTTGGTTTAAATTAATCGCGAAGAGTTTCCCAGGCAAGACAAATCGTCGCGTCGCGTCGCGTCGGCAGACAACGGTGAAGAATTTTGCATCTCATAAATCACGACGTGACACGCGTACACGTTTGACAGGCCGGAAATGAAATATCCAGTTGATTTCAGCACGCCAGGCACGGGTTTCGCGAGGATCGGGCAACGATCACACCGGTTTCCCGTTGCCAATTTAATAGGTGATCTGCGTTCTCAACGAAGTGTCATAAAATCGCCTGCACTATATGCAGTCGCTGACGAGCATATATCTGTTGAATGGGACGAATAAATGTTTTCCCATCGCTCTGCCAACCATTCTCTATTTCGTTCCACGCGAGAATTAAATCTCGAACGATTCTCACTCGCCATCTCGACCGCGACCCAGAAGAACGATCACGCGTGTACTGCGCGTGCCTCGTGAGAAGTCTCGCGGACGGAATGCAGGTCTAATTGGTCAGAAATTACCTAACTGTTTAACGTTATTTAATACCAAACGCCCATCGTCGATTCTGACCGAGTTATCGGCCGAAACGATCACGCGAGTCGAACCGCGTGACAGAAACCGTCGACGAGGTTTGGGTAGATGGCGCGATTGAGTTACGCCGTTTGTCCCCGTGGCGTCACGCGAGACTTCCCGCGAGGCACGAACGGTGTATAATTATATATGCACGCGATCGTCGAATACGATTCTCTAACGGAGAGTACGGTTCACACACATTTTTTTTCGTTTTCTTGTTATTTTACATCGACAAAGTGTACACGGTTACAGATTAATAACATTTACTCGTACGGACGATTATAAGTATGGACCCGTTTTCAAGTCGCCACGCAATCATGGACGTCGAACGTAACTCGATGAGCCTTCCATCTAAATTGCGCTCTCGTCTAGACGATGCACGGATCGAACGAGGAACGCACCTTTCCCGTACGCGTCTCGTCGCGTCCGTGGTTCTTAAAATACCTATCGATCTCTTCCTCCTTTACTTTGGTCGATTCATTGATAACGACTATTTAATAGCGTAAGAGCGTATGTTGTATAGGTATTTATATATGTACATATATAGAATATATACGTGTATGTATACATCAAAGTGTCATCGACCGTCAGCGTTCCACGGCGATGGAATGAAATTTCCTATGCGTTGATTTAATTGACACTTATTCATTTTTGTCCCCTCTCCAGTGAGATTCTTCCTTCCTTCTTTTTCTCTATATTTTTCTCTTTTTTTATTTTTATTTCCTCTCATAACCGCCAGCTATTCGCGGGTTTAAAACGCGAATCGGACACACCGGGATCACGAGTTTCGGACTCTAGGAGGGCATTTTCAGAGAAGGTCACGGATCGGTCGTGACCCCGTGAAAGGAACGACGCTACATCGAACGGATACATCATCCTTAAAGTAATTTACAGACAAAATGACCTTTGTTTAGGCTTTATCCTTTCAATCAGCTTGGTTACTATACTCGATTCTTCACGAATAATAACAGACACGAACGGAATACATCATTTTTGCTGACACCGTTTAAGACCGCGAGACGATTTCATCACATAGATCGAAACACCGAATTTTCTCGTGTTTGCCGTCGTTTCTCTAAACCTTTATGGCAATCGAAGTTTAACTGTTAACCAAAGAGTCACACTGTTCGCGAGAACGAAAATCTACCGGGGTTCGTTTCAACGGAACGCGTAGTTACCTACGGCTCCAACATGGGACGCGGAATGCAAACAGAGGGGTAACAGCGGTCGAACGAGCGAACGTCACGATGAAACGAGAAAATATCGGGAAAGAATATAGGTAGAGAGAGAAAGAGAGAGAGAGAAAGAGACAGCATTGTCGATTAATGTAACACCAGTTAACAGTTAAATGGATTTCAGTAGCTACGCGAAACGTCCGTACCGATCTCGCAGTCCGGATAACACACAGTATGAATGGAACCCCATAACCGCCGATAAAAACACTTATAAAAAGTAGTATGTACAACAAAACTCCTTTGTACGGATTTTCACGTGACAATAAAACGTTAGCCAGTCGATATACATAGATGCGGAAAGCTCGTCAAATGGATCTGGACAAAAGTATGGACAAAAGGTACACCCAACTTCGCGAACGTTACATCACGGCGTAATTATACAAGATCGACACCTACTTGATTTCAAGCTCGTCAAGCGCGACTCTCGAGCTTCTCGAAAGCACCCAAAAAAGGAACAACAAAAGCGTGTCTCTTACCTTCGATTTCTTTCATAGCTATTACCATCAGGGGTCAGTGAACGATCAACAAGCTTTTCTCCTCGTCGTTGTTTCCCTGACGAGATGCTCTTCGTGAAATCCCCGATGCAAGGTCTTCCGTGGTAAGCCAGGAGTGGGTTCTGTAATCCATAACGCATAGACAGAAATGGTCGGGAATATTCTGATGCATTCTCTTCCGCTTTGCTTTGCTTCGCAGTTTCCGATACTCTTCTTCCGCCGACTACTCCGCGTCCTGCCCGCGGCTCGTCCTCTCTCGCTTCCGGTAACGCGGCTCACAATCCTCAGGAACGTTTTCGAATTCGATTCGACCAAGTGGAATTCCGGATTCCGACGTGAGATCCAGCCTGTTACGTGTACGTATACATGACAATCAAGATCCGACATCCTTCAACGTCACCTCGTTTCCTGGGTATTGATTCAACTCTTTCGTCCTCCATAATCGTCTCTCTCCAAAGAGCTATCTATGCTCCTTCTTTGCTCCTTCGGACTACTCGGGTTCTAGGAAGCAAGCAGGGTTCGCGCAAAATCCCAGAGATAAAGTTTGCTCTGTTCCTCGGATGTTACCGTTCCACGAATGGCTTCCAGGAACGCAGGATTCATCACCCACGTGCGACCACGATGGCTGTAGCTATTGTTACGTTTCTTCTCCTGGTTTCTCGGAAAGGACAATTTCATCTCGGCAAACGGACGATCAGTTTTCCAGAAATGGATTCTTCTTCGTCGACGCTGCTGATGGGAAGGTCGACGTGGTCGGCGGAGGAGTTTCCTTGACGGCTGCATCTTTTCCCTCGTACTTGCTCGCGATCTGCCAGATGCTTCGGTTCTCGGACATGATCAAGCGTCGTGACTTCAATTGCGCCTGATCGTCAGAGTTCACTTCCGACTCGGCGTCGCAGGACATGAACACGAAGTGTACCCCTTTCGCGTTGCAACTCGAGGGGCCGTTATTGTTATCCGTCGGTGCGCATTTGCGAATTGCCTGGTCGTTGGAAACGCTATCGCCACGTTCGAAGTAATCCTGGTTCCATTTTGCGACAGTTTTCAGAAGGTGGCCCTGGATGACACTGTGCCCGTCATCCTCTTCCTTTACACGAGTGAATCGCTGTGGTTATCTGTATCTGCAAGAAGCAAGGCAACACGAGTCGATGGTGAAACGCGAAACGATGTCTCGTTGTTCGTTAACGGAGCGTGGAAATTGAGAGAATCTAAAATTCGCGCGAAATGTCACGCGTCGATTTTCGCGAAACGGGTCTGTCATAAACACCAGGTGCGCGACCGAAACGTTCAATGATATTGTAATTTATGGCGTTAACGCGGCAATTTATATTCACGAAATATTACGAGCGACTAGTGGGCTGAAAAATATTTGAACCCCGAATCGGAAGCATGGAAATTCGTTTGATGTTGGCATTTCGAATGGCACGTCGATATTCGCGACACAAGGGACTATGTTTCGTCAACGTCGACGAGTGTAATGTTTCGTACGATTTTCGAGTCCCATTATCCACGATGGATGGTGTTCCCTTACGGTAGGTCAGGATTATAAGTGACCATTTTATACGTCGCGTGACGATAACCTTTCGAGATACCATTGTATACCTATAAACCAGGCTATTCGGAACAGACCCCATCGAACGATATTTTTCGAACGTGCTCTGAAACAGTCCTCTTTTTCCAAGGATATCATTCGATTGTATATCCTAGATTCTTCTTTAACCTTTGTGTCGATAATTGGGTTCCTCTTTACATTCGTACTCGAAATATTATATTTCATGGGCGAGAGGTTTTGATATCCACCAAATCGTCGTTATTCGATACCGCGTCTGCTTCGAAAACTGTTAAAATTGGATCACAAAATGGACTATACGTTTGTTCGATAGTCGGAGTACGAAGTCAAATATTGTTTCAAACTAGCACTAACACTCGTCTAATTATTGACGTACCTCGTGCAAACTACACTGTGATAGTTGGAATAACGCGTTAATATCAGCAACTGATAATAACTGAAATTGCGTGGGAGGACTACATTAATCTTATTGTGGGAGTAAAGTTGCCAAATACAAAGAAAAAACTAACACGACATAGGAATTCGTAATAAAGATACCTAGATACAAAACAACATCGACACAAGAATTATACATTTTCCCATTTATTAACACTTCTTGATTAAGAACAAGGTGCCTCGTTTGCGAGATTCCCATCTTATCTCTATACTTTTTCAGCTTCAAACGGCGGTTGAACCTTCTCAGAGTGTACAGCACGGTGGCTGAACCTTCTTTGAGTGTACTATGACGGCTGAATCAAATTGGAACGGACCACAGAGACTGAATCTCCTCAAAGTACACACCACAGCGGCTGGACCTACTCAGAGTGTGCACCACGGCGGCTGAACCTTTTCCGAGTGTACTACGACGGCTGAATCTACTTGGAACGTACCACGGCGACTGAACCTTCTCAAATCACACACCACAGCGACTGAACCTCCTCAGAGTATGTACCACGGCGACTGAACCTTCTCAGAGTGTGAACCACGGCGACTGAACCTTCTTAGAGTGTGCATCACGGCGATTGAACCTTCTCAGAGTGTGTACCACAGCGACTGGACCTTCTCAAAGTGTACAGCACGACGATTGAACCTTCTCAGAGTGTGCACCATGACAACTGAACCTTCTCAAAGTGTACAGTACGGCGACTGAACCTTCTCGGAGTGTACAATGCGGCGTCTGAACCTTCTCAGAGTGTGAACGACGGCAACTGAACCTTCTCAGAGTGTGTATCACAGCGACTGGACTTTCTCAAAGTGTACATCACGACGATTGAACCTTCTCAGAGTGTGCACCACGGCGATTGAACCTTCTCAGAGTGTGTACCACAGCGACTGGACCTTCTCAAAGTGTACAGCACGACGATTGAACCTTCTCAGAGTGTGCACCATGACAACTGCACCTTCTCAAAGTGTACAGTACGGCGACTGAACCTTCTCGGAGTGTACAGTGCGGCGTCTGAACCTTCTCAGAGTGTGTATCACAGCGACTGGACCTTCTCAAAGTGTACATCACGACGATTGAACCTTCTCAGAGTGTGCACCACGGCGATTGAACCTTCTCAAAGTGTGCACCAGAGCGACTGAACCATCTCAGAGTGTGCACCACAACGGCTGAACCTTCTCAAAGTGTGCACCACGGCGACCGAACCTTCTCAGAGTGTGCACCACGACTACTGCACCTTCTCAAAGTGTACAGCATGGCGATTGAACCTTCTCAGAGTGTATAGTGCGGCATCTGAACCTTTTCAGAGTGTGCACAACTGCGACTGAACCTTCTCAGAGTGTGCACTACGACGATTGAACCTTCTCAAAGTGTGCACTGTGGCGAGTGAACCTTTTCAGAGTGCACACCACAACGGCTGAGCCTTCTCAGGGCATACCACAGCGGCCGAATCTACTTAAAACGTACCTCGGCGCGTAGAGATCGATCAGAGAAGAAAAGCAGCAACCCGGTCAGCCGAAGCGCAAAGCTCTGCGTGCGTGTCGCGCAATTCTTTCCCCGTCGATCTCCGCGGTCACGCGAGACCGCGTTTAACACGAAGACAGAGGAAGCGAGAAGAGCAAAAACCCGGGGTTTTCCGCGGCACGCGAAACGGGAAACGCTCGGTTCATCGACGCGCCGCACCGCTTCAGCTCGCGGCCTCTCCGAGTATATTTATGAGCCTCCGGCGCCGACACGCGACCAAATTCGTTGACCTACTATTTTGCACGTACATCCAGTTACCCTGTACGTGTACGTACACGTACGGTGGCTGATTGCTTTCCGGGTATAGAATATTTGGCTTTCGCGTCGCATGCGGAACACCCGCGCAGATGCACGCTGACCCAATACCCTAGAATACACTAGCTACGCCGGCAAGAAGTTCGTCGACGTCTAGCCAGGCTGACTCTAACGATCCAGATTATTCGAATGGCGCTGTCCAAACTTTGCCTTACGAGCTTCGTGCATGGAGACGGAACGAGGAATCGCGTGGAGGTGCACTGCGCGGCTGGTAAGTTGGCATTCAGCAG